TAGGTTGGGTTACTAGATCTGGTAACATATCTCAGGTTGGGTTACTAGATCTGGTAACATATTTTAGGTTAGGTTACTAGATCTGGTAACATATCTCAAGTTGGGTTACTAGATCTGGTAACATATCTCAGGTTAGGTTACTAGATCTGGTAACATATCTCAGGTTAGGTTACTAGATCTGATAACATATCGACTTTTTCGTTTCTTTTTCCGTCTCTATTGATAATATGCAATTTTAATCAACACACAAATGAAGAAGAAAAATTATTGATGCAATCGATTAACTGTCAAACACATAAAACATTTTGTGTAGGTACACCGCCTACTAAGTGAAATAATTATGAAAAAATAGACTGATAGCCCTGTGGATCATCGTATAAGAGTAACAATTTTAGTTTTATTATTCCAAATGGGAAGATCATGTGATAGGTACAAGGCGAAAATAAAAGACAGATAGTTTCTGTACGAGTATATGAATTCTCTATTCAACTATGTATCACAATTTGATATTCTTCCATTAATTGGCTATTGAATTGCGTTTTATTGAAATACATGAACTTGGCTGTGGCCCGAATGCAATGACATTTCGATGCTTGATAGGCTTAGAAAGCCAAAGATCATTACTGAGAGATATTATCAGAATATTTTCCATGCCCTGATAGGTCCCAGAAGATTGCCAATAATTTCATCGAGTTTAAAAAATTCATCCGAAAATAACTAACGATATTGAGAAAACTAAGATAAAATAGTTATTTGTTTAACTAGGCAGCAAAGTAGTAGATTGACTGCCGTGGCTGAATTCATAGCCGAGCGTAGCGAGGCTAGGAATCCAGCTAAGGCAGTCAATCTACTTTGCTGCCGAGTTGAACATATAATTTTTTCTCCGATTGTTCATAATGATATGGGAGAATATTGTATTTGCGAATTAATACAATTCCCACAATCTCTTTATTCTTCCTGTATAGTGTTCAATTAAAATAAAATTTGATAGAAATCGCAGTTGTTGGTTTGACAATTCATGAAATTTCTGACAGTTGTACGAAAATATATCGGTATTTTTAAATTTTTATATAATGGACAGTGATAGCGACCTGGAAGTATACTTACACCTCCATTAATAAGGGAGGTGGCAAAAAATATAGAGTTGAATTTGTTGCCGGAGAAGTCTCGGATGGAATATGAAGGAAATTATAAACGATTCATGGATTTTTAATTTTGCTGATACATATCAATCAGCAAAGTAACCACTTTGCTGCCTAGGCAGCAAAGTACCCACTTTGCTGCCTAGGCAGGAAAAGTAATACTTTGCTGATCGATATGTGTCAGCAAAATTAATATTTGCTGCCAATCGGAGGAAAACTAATTTTTTTTTCATTTGGCTACTTCTGAAGAAACTATTTGTCTTTAATTTTTGTCATGTAGCCATAATATGAGCATCCATTTGGATACATGAAACTGAAATTGTTGTAATAATAATTGATGTATCGTCCTAATATCGTGAGTTATTTTCGGATGATTTTTTCAAACTCAATGAAATTATTGGTAATCTCCTGGGACCGATTAGGGCATGGAAAATATTCTGATAATATCATCTGAGTAATGATCTTTGGATTTCTAAGCCTATCAAGCATCGATATGTCATTGCATTCAGGCCACTGCCAACTCCATGTATTCCAAAAAAAATGCAATTCAACAGCCAATTAATGAACGAATATCTAATTGTGATGCATAGTTGAATAGAGAATTTTAAGGTGCATACGATAGACTATAGAAATAAACAGAGTGCCTTTTGGAAAGAAAAAGTTGGGTCTACTTCCAATCAAACAGGTGGTTGAAAAAAATTGTCACTTGGTTTAAGGAAAGCGCCATTATCTCTTGTGTCAGACGGTATAAGGGTGATTGAATAATTCATAAAAATGATTTAGTTGCCATGAAACTACCCATATCTTTTCTATAACGTTTCCTAAGACTTTTTACACAATATTTCTGAATAATAATTCCAGGATTAGATTGAATCTACATCTTTGCATATAGGTACAAAAAATATTAATCATCTGCCGTCATCATTTCTCTGACAAATCATTCCATTGAAATGACTAGCTATTATGAGTCACTCTAGATTATAGAAATTATAGTAGTCTCGAGATCAGACATCTCCCTATTCTATACAGGGTGTTTCAAAATTCAGAATCAAAATTTCAGAAGCTCATTTTTCAGACCAAAATAAGACTTTTCTTTTCTATAAATGTGTCCGCAAACGATTCATGTATTTTACAGCTACAAATCGTTGAAATTTCAAGGTTTATTTTTCCTTTTCTTTTAGTTTTCGAGATATTCAGATCAAATTTGAAATATAGGCAACGTTCTACAGGGGAATACTTTTTGAGAGGTATTACTTTATTGTGTGAGTCACCTCTCTAAATTAAGAAGAAAAAATCTTGATCACCCTGTATGGAATATCTTGTTTGAAAACGTACCTCAAACTTTACTGATTTTTCGATGGAGTTCAAGTGTGGGAAATAATTCGAGTAGCCAACAAACCGTTTTATGAATAATGAAAGAGCCGAAAGCAAACATGAAACCATCCGTGTAAACTATTTTGTCGCCGATTTCGATGACTAGAATAACAAATCAAAGCAGTTATAACATTATTTCTTGGCATGTATTTTGTTCGCACCTTTTTGTTGCATTAAAAATTTGAAGCTCTTAAAATTATTCGTATTGGAATCAGTGTAGATTATTTTAAACGATATGAACTCAAATATTTCTTGAACACAGATGGAACATAAAAAAAATTGATCGTTTCCAAAAACATCTTTTCAATTTTTTCTTTCAACAATATTGTTTTTCTGGTAACATTATACTAGAAAAAAATAGTTATGATACGAAAAAATGATCTTATTATAACGAAAAATCAATTTAAGAAAACGGTTCATTGCTTCTAGCATTTTCTTTCCATTTTTCTTTTCATATACAGGCTGATTCGCGGTAGATGGCACACTAGACGTTTCTGGAGAACGCAACTCAGGATTATTCTGAAAAGTTGGTGCGTTGGATAATAACTTGTGTTCTATCGACCTAAAATATTCTCAGCGTTGCGACGTTGCCGCTTATATTGAAAAGTAGCAAGAACTTTGATTTTTCGAATGAGACACCCTGTATATTATTTCATTTTCAGATTATTCCTGGAGAGCTGATTCCATTGACACATAACACTTGGGGTCTAGCAGTAATAATTATAGAGTTATAGGATGTCAAAAATCAAGATTTTTCAACTTTGGGAATTTTTTCTGTTCATAATTGGTCAAAACTCGGACAAAACGGTTCTCATGTCCCTATTTCACTATCAATTGTTATTCAATTGAAATATATACAGGGTGGTTGAAAATCTTAATTCTGAACCACCCTGTACCTATTTCTTTTAAATATTAATTGATAGTATCAATAAAATATTAATTGATTGTACATGACAAGTTAAGATAGGGACATGAAAACCGTTTGGACTAATTATGAATAGTTTCGACACAAAAAATGCTTGAAGTTGAAAAAAAATCTCGATTTTTCACACCCTATATCTTTGTTATCATTCCCGCTAGACCCCAAGTGTGATAGGTCGATGGAATCAGCTTTTCAGGGACAGTCTGAAAATGGAATGATATACAGGGTGTCCCATTGAAAAAATTAAAGTTCTTGCTACTTTTCAGTATAAGCGACAACGTCGCAGCGCTGAGAATATTTCAGGTCGACAGAACACAACTGATTATCCGAGGAACCGAGTTTTCAGAATAATCCAACGTTGCGTTTTCCAGAAACGTCTAATGTACCATTAACCGTGAATCAGCCTGTATAGTAGGCATGGCATTTTTTGATTTTTTGATCAAGTGTCATGATTCATAATGCCCCCTGGGCGTTATGGGTTTGTTAATAGCGACCGTTGCCAAGGTATTATAAAGCAGTAATAGACAAGTGGAAAATAAAGTTATTCGGATTCGGTTTCAATAGTTTGCGTACGATCTCCAACCTTCAGCTCAGATACGTCACAAAAATTCGGTTGAGATGTTTTCATAATTTTGGGAAAAAAAAAATTGCTAATCGTGAGAAAATAGTACCTTATACAACAAGGAACAGAAATGCAAGAAACATTTAGGGAGTGATTCCGTGTCATAATTTATTAGGAACAAAGATCGCATAAACATTTGTTTCAACTAGTTTCATATTTGAGATACAGAATGTTGAAGTTGGAAGTATTATTTAAAATGATAATTGTTTTTTTATGAACCCCCTGAATAAGTTTCCATGGTGGTAAAATATAGTTTGGTTAGCGAGATAGTCTGAAAATTTCAGAAGTGCGTCTTGATAGCAACTTCATAGAATTTTTGAAACCATTCAATTTTGTTTCCTCAAAAACTGAGCGATATACTAAAGTAACACATGGAATAGGAAATTCGCATTTCGAATTGTTCAATCTGATAAAAATATGGAACCTATAAAACCCAGTGGCGTACAATGAAATTCACCATTGATATCAATAAGGTAACCCACTACCACGCCACTGGAAATATTTATTTCGAATCCAATTACACTAAAGAAAAGCTCCATGTTAGTTTTAACAAAATCAGAAAGTGCCATTGAAATTGAAGATAAGATTTTTGAGTAAGAAGACGATGTTTTATGAAAAATACCCTGTATCTCTAACAGGAAAAGAAATTGGACAAACGTTATTTACATGAACTTTTGTTCATGGAAAATTACGAGTGATTTTTTCGCATTTCATTCACACCCTGTGTAGGCTGAAACATGACTTTCTCGAAATATATTTATATTAAAATAATAATTGTTGACATGACTGGCTCAATTTAAAAATACAACACCCCTGGTTATGTATCAACAATTTTTTTGACATCTTTTTCCACCCTACGAATTGTAAGATTTTCGTTTTCGACTGTATCTGAACCAAAAGTTGCAAACTCAAAAAAGAAAAATTCAAGAAAATCACTCACCAGTTATCACCAATCTGCCTTTGGTAGCGCTCAGTCTGGTCTCTCCGGTGAGCCTGTGTTTCGTCCTGCATTGATACGACTTGTATCCATCCTCAGGTCCGACGTCCTTGATGTGCAGTTCGCCGGAAGGAAGGACCAAGTATTTGCTGTCTATAGTATGTTGGTGAAAAAAAAAAAACAGTTGATTCAAGTCTGCAGATGATTTCAACATTACATCGATCATCTTATTATATTAGTATGACCAAAAATTTTACAAGTTCAGAAGTTTTCAGCAAAGACGACTGATCGATGTAAAGTCCTGGGTTGACTAGTTAATCTACTTAGTATTGAATCTACTTTGGGAAGTTTCATGTCAATGTGATATCACAATAATTGAAGATGGAATAATTGTGATTGAAAAAAAAAAGTTGTATTCAATTCTGTTCGTAGACAAGATAGTAGCTTTGAGAACAATCTGACTTACGATTTATACACACTGTGTTGAAAGAGCACTGATAAGTTTCCTCAAAAGCATCCACTTCTTCAAATAATAACAACACATCCTGACAGTTCTCTAGTATAAACTATACTGGTCATTCTTCCTGTTTATTCCCCGTAGCCTCTCTTATCTACTTTATGTAACTTCTTAATCATGCATTCAATACATCTTAGTCATAAAACTAGCACCCGTCGATATTCTGAACAAAATACGGGGTGAAAAGTAATTATAATACTGGCAGGTAAATTAATATGACGTGGTCGTTATCTCTGGAGTGTTTTTTCAACACCTGTATCAATAAAATATCACCTTCCCTTGTTAACTATATAACAACAGGCCAGAACACAGTTTTTTTGATAAAATACAGGGTGTTCCAGAGTTCTTGTGACAAAAGCCTATAGGGGAGATTCCTTCGTTTCCAAGTTAAAGAAAAAATAGTTTCGTATTGATATCTTGAAAACGCTTGAGCCGATTTGAATGAAATTCAAATGGTTTATCGATACAAATATCAGACATTCACTGGACCAATTAGATTTGATCCCGAATTTTCAAGGTCGTACCCATCAGCTTTTTTTTGTAAAAAAACACCCTGTTTTTTTTTCGATTTGAGAGGAATCTTCCCTAGGCTTTTGTCACCACAACTTTGAAACACCTTGTGTACTGTAATACTTCAAAAAACACCATTTGAATATCCTACAATGGGCGAGTTGACTGATATACAGAGTCTGTCCAAGATAAGGTTGCACAGCATGGGGATCTCGGAAACGGTAGGAGATACGAAGTCGGTTAAATGGGGAAAAAGTTTGCGCATTCGGAGGCTCATACCAACAGCCTTCGAAAATTTTCAAAATTTTTTTTAGTTTTTCAGTTATATCGAAAAAAGTGAATTTTTGGAATCTCTATTTTATTTTTTTTTCTCCGTTATTATTAGAGATACAGGAAAACTGAAAATACTTTTTCATACCAACTTTTGATGACGTTTAACGTGGTGATACCGATTTTTCTATGCGACGTTTCGTATTCGTAGAACCATCATCAACTTTTGTTTTTTAAATACGGCCCTGATAATTCTTTCACAGATTCTGAAAGCTTTTTTTATTCTGAATTCAACCATGTATTATACAAGGTGGTTTGAATGTGTTTCGAACTATTTTTAGCCATCATCAATGTTTTTTTCGAAATTCCAAAGGAAAAATGCCATCAGTTTCACTTATTTCTGATTATTCAGTGTCAAACATTGATGGACTAGTTATTCAATACTGAAAAGTGAAAAAAAAAATCCACTAAATTATTCGATGCAGCGCTTCGAATTGTTTATAAATTGTATTCATATTTTAATCCGAAGGAGCTTGTCATAATTAAATTTTTCGAACTAATTATTCCTATAAGTCTATCAATCGGAACTAGTTGATGAGGTATCAGTTTGTTGGCTAATGTTCCTTCATAATAAGTGGAACTGATGGCATTTTTCCTTTGGAATTTTGAAAAAAACATTGATGATGGTTAAAAATAGTTCGAAACACATTCAAACCACCTTGTATAATACATGTTTGAATTCAGAATAAAAAAAGCTTTCAGAATCTGTGGAAGAATTATCAGGGCCGTATTTAAAAAACAAAAGTTGATGATGGTTCTACGAATACGAAACGTCGCATAGAAAAATCGGTATCACCACGTTTAACGTCATCAAAAGTTGCTATGAAAAAGTATTTTCAGTTTTCCTGTATCTCTAATAATAACGGAGAAAAAAAAAATAGAGATTCCAAACATTCACTTTTTTCGATATAACTGAAAAACTAAAAAAAAAAATTGAAAATTTTCGAAGGCTGTTGGTATGAGCCTCCGAATGCGCAACTTTTTCCCCATTTAACCGACTTCGTATCTCCTACCGTTTCCGAGATCCCCATGCTGTGCAACCTTATCTTGGACAGACTGTATTCCTCAATTTTCGAATTGATCCAACTTATAGCTAATCGAGTAGCTGTTGCAAGTTGTAGGTACGTTCAATCAGCAGCTATAAAGCTATGAATCTTCATCAACTTAGTGCCAACGAAAATCGATTTTTCTTAATACACAACTCAATTTCATCAGACAACCGCGATACGCTTAGGAGAAACCATCATAATGAGATCCTCGTGATATCCATTTACATGAAATTTCCCAATAAACTCTAAGAGCAACCAAGTTTACAGGATTTTATCGATTTTGAAAGCGAGCCAAAACAGGGCAGGTTAGGTTAGTAACTAGAGAGTTAATTCATCAGATGTCAACACAAAATCGAGACTTGGTTGTTCTTCACTTCAAATACAAAGTTAATCAATGGAACTTACCCTTGAAAATTTTCCAAGTTTCATTTTCACAGTTGCAAATTTTCTCTTCGTGTAATTTGAAAAAAATATATTTTCCAAAAATAAAAATAGAATGACGGAAGTTCTATTGACCAACAGTATATTTCTCAGAGTGCTGAACGTATCATTTCAAGAAATAATCCATGAACAAATTGCATCTAACTTATCAAATTATGATAAATCACATGACTTCAGTATTTGACTCTTTTTTTTTCAATCCATTTGAAATGAATCGCATCGCACCCGGATGTTTTCATGCATTTTTTCTACAGTTTTTCTACAGTGTGATTATCTAAGTGCGCAACATATGGGAATTTTCACTCCTGTAAAGTTTTTTGAGTTTCGATTTTAAAAATGTTCACACTTAAATGACCACCCTGTGCAATAAATAACTACGAAGGCAAGGGGTGGTATACGGGGTGGAATAAGGTAGGGATTAAAGGATCGCAAAAGGAGTTCCAGATGTCCAAATTTTTCAACGATTCATTTATTGTTGACTGTCAGCGATTCATTTTCTGTTTTGCCAAGTTATACCGGATTTCCCAAATTTATTGTCCAGTTCCGACGCAAAATTATAATCAGTTATTTTCATTTATAAACAGCCCAATATACATTCGAAATTTTTATAACAAAATCTTCGAAGAAGTACTATACGAAAAAAAAAAGAATTGTTGTATCAAGCAAAATTTAATGAAGCAAATATAAATATTTGTGAACGACAAAATTTAATCTTGACATGTGTAAATCTATATCTTGTTTCAGAGCGAATTTGGAGTTTGATTGAAATGAATATGTCTTGCATGAACTCTGGATCTTATTCAATCAAGCACATCCATGAATTGTTCATGAAGAGATATTGAATTGGCTCAAACAATCATTTTGTTTGACTTAAAATGACAAGATATTGATTCAATCAAATATTTAGTTGATTCAAAGAAATATATGGTTAATTCAAAGAAATATATGGTTAATTCAAAGAAATATTTGGTTGATTCAATTAATTATTTGGATGATTCAATGAAATATTTTGTTGATTTAATGAAATATTTCGTTGATTCAAGAGAAACTGTATTTTTATTCGACAAATTGTTTTGTTGAATCAAATTCAGTATTAATTCGGGAGTTTTCTGAAATTTCACATCAACAGAATAAACTAAACTAGGAAACTAGTCGACTTCTAGCATAGATCACCAGTCTTTACTTCTCTTCAGCTAATACAAAACTATTTCGGATTGATAATCATCTTAAGTTTGATTTATCAACCAGCTGATATTTCGAACACGAAGAATCAGGCTTCACGTATATAATGAATTCGAGGCAGGTATAGACGAGGCGAAATTATCGCCATCTAGAGGCGAAAATTCAACTTGATGTAGAATGAACAAAATAATCCATTGATAATGCATATTTCGTTGGTCTATTCAAGCAAATGATCCGTTCGAAACGAGTTCATTGCTACATCTGAATAAGAAAACTTGTTTCAAAGATATATTCTCATCAAAATGATCATTATATCAAATCAACGAAATGTTTATAGTTGAATCAACATCGACATTATTTTGGATCGACATAATTTGTTTTTGAGGAAACCATATATTTTGTTGATGGAATCGATTCAATAAGACAACATTCTTGATTTGAACAAGCTGCTTCCATGAAATAATTATGTATCTGGTTGATTCAACAAAAAATTGCTTAGTCCAACAAAACTAAGTCAAGCATAAATAATTTGTTGATGCGACAAATCCTTTTTTTCCGCGTGATAGTACTGCTAGTTCTATAAATAGTACTGAACCAGTTTATTTTAGAAATATACAAAAATTGGTGACAACTCATCACTAGGCAAAGTATTACCTCAAGGTATCACTGATATTATGTTTTTCATTTGTTATTTTCCGATAAGTCCATTGAACAAAATAAATGCACAAATTAATGGTGACAATTTTTCCAAAGACGTAAGGAAAAACTGTTATATTATACAGAGCTATTTGTCATTCGAATGCACTCATTCAAATTGATTGTTTTACATATCGATAAGCGGCTTCATTTACTTCATTATCTTTATCAAATACAAAAGCGCATTTGTGTAGTTATTAGTTTGGGTCGTAAAAAAACAGGAGTTTATCGCGTTGGTTATTAGACATGGAATTCTAATAATATGATTATTTCAAAACAAAATATGATCATCTTAGGGCCACTGCCATGCAAAATCATACATTCTTTAATGTTTTGTAGATGAAAGACTGTCTAGAATGCCTACTTGGAAGAAATTAGAAAAAAAACACCAAAGTAATGTAGTGAAATGATATTTTTGCTATTGGAGA